TAAATATATTGAAATGCTTATGGTTCATTCTTTTAAGAGGAATTGATACTCAACAGAGGTCACAGAGTCTGAGGGCTTGTACCGGTTTGAAATATGAATGTGTCAAGTACTAATTCTTTTATCTACTCAAGTTAAGTTTATCACCTTCTGATTTCCCGTTGTTTTAAAGCTGCTATATTAACTGTCCAATTGCCGAGTGTCCGAGCTGTTAACTAGGGGGAAGTAGGAGCGATTCATTGACAATAGCCGAGGGCAAGGTTCTTTCATCTCTCTTTTTGAATAGAGCAGTTTTCATCAGCATGCAACTCACTCTGAAGCCATCTTTTCAAGTTCCAGCAATTCATCCATAATTCTTTGAAACAGCTACTTCAGCAATGAACATGTGCTTAGTATTTCACTGTTGGGAGCGTGGAGATTTTGGTTAAAATTCTTGGAAGCTTTTTCATAAGAGCGCAATAAAATGCTTAAAACATGACCATAAATGAGATTGAGATGAGGATGGGGGCCTACTTATCTTGGGATCACCCATCTTACCAATAACTGCAATCAGAACCAAAATTCAGGGCTTTAGCCTTGGGCTTGGGCTTCAAGCCTTCATCCGGGGACTACAACTCCTGTGTATTATGTTATAATTTTTTTTGAATGAGGGGGTAAACCACTGAACTAAGGGTGCTAATGGAAACTTAGAGGCAGGATTCACACTCCAAGTTCACGCATGAACTAAGACCTGGATTCTTGTCTAGCAAATGACCAGCAACGTACAGCATTTCATCAAAGGGGAGGTTGAAATGCTAGAACTTTCGAAGAACTTTCATATGGCAAGTTGCGATGTGGGTTATAAATTTTAGTCATTGGTCATAATTTTCTGCTGGCAAAAATGTCAGACCTGCTAGGTCTCCCTGTGGCGCAAAGACTACTCCAAATTCCTTGAAACTTCAAGGTCTGCATGGTTAGAACGTCCTCTCTCCCCCTGACCCAAACAACCAATCATCCACCCTGGCTTGGACCCCTTCCAATAGAATGTTGTTCCCTGGAATGGAATGCGAAAAAACCCAACAGATAAATAATACAGTTGTGTAAGTAGACCATCTCCCGAAACATGACATTTATGGCTTCCTTCATCTAACACAGGACATGTGCTTCAGCTCTGTTTAAGGTACATCCGTAAAGTCCTTGGCGTTCCGGATTCAAGGGCTTAGCTGTAAATGGGGCCATTCCCGTTTTCCATTTTTTTCCTCCATTCCACACACACATCGAGTTGTTTAAGATTAGGCTTCCAAAAAGTTTATGCTTCCAATTTCCTTCGTTTATGTGTGGCTTCTGATAAATTGTCTCATTTGAAACTTCCATGAATATCAAGGTCGAGCTGGCTACTTCCAGGGTCACAATATTTTCCTCTTCCTACCAAATTTTGATTTTTTAATTAGAATAGAGTATTGGTAAGCTATTTCCCTCGGTTGTTAACTACTCCTTTATGTTTGTAGATTGTGAAGTAGGTGTCTAGCTTTTCCTTGGTGGTTTGGAGCATGTTTATTGCTGTCTATAGGGTTTTAAAGGAATATATATATATATATATATATATACTTTTCCATGCAATTTGCATACCCCTAAGATCGTTCCCCTTTTTGGGTTACGTGACGATAAGACAAACTAAACATGGCCTCTAATGGATATTTTGCAGGTAGATGGTCACCTCAAAAACCAATTTGCTTATGTACATTCAGGATTAATAAAAACAGGTAAAGTTCTGGATCATCTGATTGCTCAATAAGGCAAACGGATCAGTATATAATTGAAGAATTATCCTTGCTAGCTTGATTCTGGGGCTTGATCTCCTGTTAAGATAGCAGAGCATATGAAGAAATACTGAGAATGCATGAGAACCCTGATGGACCTAGCTATTTTGTCTCGAGGAGAAGTTTCGAGAGGGGGCAAAGGTAACATGGCCTCATGTCCTCGTTCAGCATGAGGTCATTTTCTATCGAAACCCTATGATAGTCAGGAAATCACTGCCTTTCGGTGATTATGCAAGACCCACTTCAATATTTGTATCTGTTTTCATCCTCCATATTCAGTTAACAAATTTAATCACAGAACATGGTGTCGCCTTCTTTTGAAAACCTGCACACCTTTTGGCCCATGAGGTTCATGCTGATCAGTGCCAGGCACATGGAATATTGTTGAAGTACCGATCACTTATCAGCCAACATCCAGGCATGTTATACTGCTTAAAAGGACATCCAACTATAGAAACTTATAGTGCCCAAATTCATTACAATTCGACAGATCATTCAACATGGTTGATTCCACTTTAACCTAAAGTGGGATTACCAAAGGAGAGAAGAAAAAGTAGAAAGGCTTTATGTTGGGAAAGTTGGAATGGCTATCACGTTTCAAATACCAGAAACTTTACCTACTATATTGTCCTATAATCTTAATTTCAATGTCATATTTGGTCTGTACAATACACGTTTCGTTGTCTTCAGTCGAGCACGTCTGTTCAAACATTAAAACAATTAGCGCAATTGTAAACATTGATTAGGGTTGTTTACGTGCACGTAGGTGATGTGATTAAGAATTCACGTACGGTCAATGAACTAGTAGTACTGTTATTGCCAATAATATGGCCGGACGTAGCCGTAACAAAGCATTTAAGAGAGCATGAATTTGGGTCGAAAGACTTGCTCTGGCTCTTTCTGGACCTTAGAACATGGGAAGAGAGAGAGAGGGAGAGAGAAAAGAGTTGCTGCCCTGGGTCATAAGGAAGGGGTAGATGAAAGAGAGACAAGTGGTTCTCATTTAATTTCAAAATTTATTTCTGATTATGACCATGCTCGTATTTGGTAATTCATCTGCTAGCCTAGCTCGAGGACGACCTTTACAAAGTCCTAAATGTTCAATACAAAAGAGATCTTCAAGGAACCAACTCTTTCATCCTCTTTCTTTTTTGGGTCTGGGACTACTCTATTAACCCAAATATGTAATTACTTGACACTAAGTTAACTAATTTGATAGTAAATGAATAAGAGAAAAGCCTCTCGATGAGTCACTTTAGTTCCCCAAGGACAAATGGAACAGTAATTCACTTGATAGGGCAGATGATAGGTGCATGTGGCTGCTGCAATACATGTAAATGCACTTTCCGTATCACACCGATTGCCTCGAAATCCTTATGTGTGTCAAAAGAATACTAATATCCCACAGACACAATCAGAGAATGCCCCGTCAACATCTAGATGTGATTACCAATTAAACCATCCAATTTAACTACCAAGGTGAGCCTCTTATTTCGAAGATGGCATAGTGCTTTGTAGCCTGCCTATCCTACACCCTAAGTCATAGCTCTTCTTTTGGATGGTTCTGTTACGAAGGGAAATGCAATAGCAACATAAAAGACCGTGTCAATTTGTCTACTATATATCTAAAGCAGGACAGAAAGAAAACAAGAAGAAAAAAAAAAGGAATCAAAAGAGAGGAAAATGAAACAGTCACATTTGCTATTGAAATTCTTGTTGAAGTGGACAGGGGGTTATGTAGAATACCCAAAGTCTTCTCTTCTCTTCTGTTCTGCCATTAATTTTCAACACTGTGGTCCAGTGGGACCCTTTTGTGTTTTCTTTCCATTTCGTAAGGTGCTTTGAAGAATGAGGATTCTTCAATTTTGTTGCGCCGGTATGGTGGCTAAGGGAAGAAAAAATAAGCCACCTAATGCCTATGGAATTAGCTCTGGACATTCATTGCCAAACTTTAAGAATCACATACAATCCGTATATATTATATGTAAACCTATAGCTCGATGGAATGTAACTATATCCTTGGTCACAATTGTTGATTTCTAGACTCTAACCTTTTTCTATACTTATGATCCAAAGCCCAAATTGCCTTCAAGGAAACATAGGTTACAAAGTTCAAAATGTCATTAGAGGAAGTATTAAGATGAAAATTTAGATATTTGATCCTGAACAGACACTTAAACAATTAGGATTCGATGATATCAAATGGGGAATATATTGGAGAGTAAGGGAGCGATTGCATTTGCATATGAGGAAGAACCATGCAAAATATCTTAAAAACATTGAACAAGGCAATAGCCAAATAAGGCTTTTGAATTACTAAATGGAGGTAAAATGATTTGACTCGATAAGACATCAGAAACCTGCAAAAGAAGAATGCAGCCGCACGTACATGCATGTGAATCGCTGCTATTTTCATCTGCCAATCGATTCTCAGAATCACAAAGCTCAAAAAATAAGGAGACCCAAGAACCTACAGCATCAAGTGGTGGTACGTCTTCAGTAAAGTTATTATTGAGTCTCTGAATCCAGATATTAATAAACGAAGCAAAGGGGGGACGAATTCGCCTTGGGAGTTTCACCTTCGATTGCATTTTCTCTCATACAATTCAGTAGGGATTGCTATATATCTTCGAGGTAAATGTGTTCACAAGAAAATGCAATTGACTTTCAGAATGGGGTTTTCAAAAGGTTGAAACAAGGAAATGGAAATGTGTGTCCGGTTAGATCAGAAAGGGAGGACACAAGCAAAATCATTTGAACTTTTAAACTTGAAATTTCACTTGAGGGATAGGGAGAAGTAAGTTGGCCTGATTTCTTCAGAACCAGAATGTTAAGAAAATGTTGTTTACTAGAACAAATTTCAATTTTTCTCCAAGGCAAGAACCAATCCGGGAAAGAGTTCAAAGTTAATGTAAGAATGGGAAACATAGGAAATTGAAGGGGGCTACTTTTTTTCTTCAAGTGAAGTACAGTGTAGAGAAGAGTTACTTTAGTTTGCAGGTAGCCAGTAAGAGAGAGAGAGAAGGGACCGTGGTGTCCTTTGGAAGGGCAGCAGGTGGTGTAATCCCAATGGGTTGCCCTCAGGCATGTCCTCTGAGCTCACACAGTTCCCAAAAACACCCATGGTCTGTCCTTTGTCCCCACAACCCCACATGACTTTGTTTCTCTTTCAACTCCTATGAGCTCACCATATATACCCCTTCCAACCCCTTCACTCTTTCACACACCACCTCTATAACTCTTCTCTCTTGCTCTTTTTCCTCTTAAATATTAAAAAAAAAAACCTGTTCTCTTTGCCCTTTTACCCCTCAAGTTTAACGCTTTGAAGGAAAATGGCTATCAGGAAATCAAACAAATTGCCTCAAAGAGCAGTCATCAAGCAAATCCTGAAACGATGCTCCAGCTTGGGAAAGAAACAAAGCTATGATGAACAAGGACTCCCTTTGGACGTCCCAAAAGGTCATTTTGTTGTATATGTTGGCGAAAACAGAAGCAGATATATTGTTCCCATCTCTTTCTTGACCCGACCGGAGTTTCAAAGCTTGCTTCATCAAGCTGAAGAAGAATTTGGTTTCGATCACGACATGGGCCTCACCATTCCTTGTGAAGAAGTTGTTTTCCAGTCTCTAACATCCATGCTCAGATGAAATAAAAAAGGCTAGCAATGAAGCTAAGGCTGGTTAAGGCTTAGGCTTGAAAGAAACTATTTTTGGAGAAAGGTCATTAAGAGGAAGCTGCTTCATTTGCTTCTCTGATTAGATTTTCTCCTCCTTCCTTTTTATTCCTTTAATTCTCCCTTTTTTTTTTCACCGAGTTGTTCAAGTAACTCTGACCCAAAAACCCATTAATATTTATTTGTCTGGGTTTTTAGATTTGTAAATCTGAGAAAGGTTTGAAAGATTTCCTCACCGAGGTGTGGGTTGTATATCAACTACCAATGTGCCCTGTGAGAGAACTAATATCAAGAATTTTGGGGTTGCCCCCCCTTCCTTTATTATCTTATTTTTCTCTGAATGCATCTCTTCAAATGGTCTCTCAATCTGTCCCTGGCACGCACGAGCACAAAGGGTGCAGGTTAGGCACACGTTCACCTGGTTTCAGGGTTGTCTCTTAGCTTTCCATATATTTTTTTCTTTAATGCTAGCCTATTTCTGGTTAAACTCAAACGGTTTAAGCCGTTTAACAACTGTTAATTAACGATACGCCCAACAGACAGCTGATTGGAATGTTTGGCCAGAGATGAAGGGCAAAACTCTTGAGGCCAAACACAACAATGGTATTTTACTCTGAGTTCTTTGTCCAAATGCCACACCATAAAGGTGAACTTGCTTTAAGCGAACTTGGTTTGATTTCGTTTCCGGTTTTCTGAAAAGACCAGATAGTTTTTTACTTATGTTTGTACATTTGAAAGCTAAAAAAGATCTTTCACCGTTTGTCATTTCCAACTTCCATTCCTATTTGCAAAGCTTCAGTTATTTCCCGCAACATGTGCAGAGTCTTCTGAGCAGCGGCATCGTTACCTTGGAGTCTGTAAAATATCTTTTTGACCTTTTTCCAGCACTTTTAATCTCCTTCTTTCAAACCCAAAAAAAGTTTTAAACCACATTGATCAATCAACATCCATCTACGATTGCCATGTGATGGGAACCCATGCAGAAGAAATCTCGTAGTTGGATTTTTGATGAGCAAGCATGGATCTCAGTCAAGTGGTGAACCTCAGAAAACTTTGGACGGCTTAGATTGCAGACCATTATCTTGATAGCTATAACACACTAACAACACTGTTCCAAAACGGGGCAAGTGACCTGGTGCAGCCATTAAATGATGGGATTAGGATCTTTATCCGGATCGTACTATCATGCTTTCCGGGCACATCCCATTTAAACTGCACTCCTCCCGTGGTCCATCATCATCTGATCTAATCTAAAATTTATATAGCAAGTAAAATTCCCAAGCTCTCTTTTTCTTTTTTTATCAAGTGGACCACCTTGTATACCGTACAGACAGGACAACTCAAAGAGACTTTAGATAGCAACCACGCGGGGGGAGGGGGGCTGGTGCATCAACCAGTGCCCTTTGTTTAGGCCTGTTTTTGGCTTTTGCTTAGGTATAAAATAAAAAACCTTTTGCCATTGGAGTGAAAGCAACAAGAAGAAAAGTTGGATAGATTTGGTGTTGGTTTAAATGCTTTGTACAAATGATCCATAGGCCGAACTGCTCTGGGATTTCTTTATTTAAAGGGAGAGGTGCGGCCGTTGGATATAGACTCTATATTATGGTTGATTGATACATATATCTTAGGGGCGTAGGCTTCAATTATTCAGCGGTGCTGTTTGTCAATTATTTCTAAAGCATACCATTTCTTTACCAGCTTTGAGTTTCTTTTTGCCTAATTAGTATCGTTGATATAAGCTGATTAAGCGTTGCTCATTTCCATTCATTGCATTCCCAACTTTCAAAACCCCTTTTAAAAAAGAAGGAGAAAAACCTCGGTAGAGGCAGCATTTTTCTTCGGAAAGTTTGTTGCAATCTTTGACCATAAGTTCACACACACACACACATCTCTGACTCTCTGACTCTCTCTCTCTCTCTCTCTCTCTCTCTAACAGTGTTGTTTGTAACCGTTAGCAAGTTATTGAATGATTTTAATGGCTGTTGGTAGAAGTTTTCAAGGATCGCTGTTGAAGAACGTGGCACCCCTAGCTCCGACTTTTGAGAGCTAGCTAGCTCTGACTAGGCAACAAAGATAAACCAAGACAAAAAACAGTTGCTGCTATCTTGTTCACTGAACCAGGTTTTGGTTCATATTCTTCTTCTTTGTTTAATTACGTACTCCAATCATGGACTGACATACAAAATTTGGGTTCTGAATTACAGTATTTACATTCATGCTATACGTTAAAACCGAGCCCCCTCGGGGATGATCAGCTCTTGCCTGAATGCATGGCTGATTTTGTTACATGTATATTTTACCTTTGCCATTTGTTTATTACTCAAATCCCGAACGTTGCTTTGTCTATTACCTAAATATAATTTTATGGTAAGAGAAAGCAACAGAACGTTTCATTTCACTTCATGGTCCATTACTTTATAGAAATAAACAGCTTAAAATGAGGAAATTAGTCATGACTTTGAAACTAGAAAGTTGGTAACTAATCACCATTTTTCTTAAGTAAAATGCTAATCAACCCACAATTTCAGCCCACTTTCATTCTTCCTCTCTTCTTCGTATCTTTTCTTTTTGTTGCTTTTTTTTTAGGTTTTTATATTAAAATATCAATAAAAAAATCTCATATCCAATAAAAGTCTATTCATTTTTATCAATTAAATATTTAATTCATGAAATAGTGATAGGTTAAAATGACTTGTAATACAATACTCTCTCGATCTATGGTGAATTGCATTTAAACCCGATAACGATCTTTAAAAATTCGACTCTTTAATCCATGAATTAAATATTGAAATTGTTTATGATCTTGGGTAGTGATGGGTTAGAATGGCTTGTAATCTAGTAGCTAATTAAAAACATCCAAAAATATATGTATATACTCCATGTATATTCTTAAGAATGAGGGACCACCATCAATCATCAAGCAATTGAAATGAAGACAAGGTTCACATGTACAATAGTATGATAGGTGAAAGATGTTATGATCTTTCAGATCCATTTTAGCTAGAAAAAGGTTAGATTCAAATCTTATGAGCAATAATTTACGGTTGGTGATTTTTGTTTTTTCTCTACTTCTTTATTCTTCCATGTCTTGTTAATGGGTTTTCATTTTCCCTGTTAACTCATTGCTTAATCTTGTCTCCTCCTAGCCCAAATAGTTCTTCCTAAAAGTGAGATCATCTTCGAATATTATATCTGTCATTAAGTATATGTATCAAACTCTCTTTTCTTGCACACAAACCTTCAAATTCCAGGATAATCCCTTTGCCAAATGTCCAAATGCAATTCATTGATCGAAAAAGGGGATATTGCTTCAATAGATTTAAGTCTTTAAGTCTGCAGCTGTCATTTGTTTCAAGGACAAAACGTACGTGATTAGTGGGATAAAGATGATTTTAAAACCCAATTGCTTAACAGCAAAGAGCAACTCCAAACTGTGTGATTAAGACAAACACGGGTACTGTAAATGTCGAAATTGTGATCAATCATGATATCATTTTTAGTCAACGTGCACATATATGGATAAAGCTAATAATTATAGACAAAGGGTTTTGGATTATGATCGTCAGAACTCCACGTGATTGCATCAAATCAAGTAGTTACAATGTCGCATTATGTTTAATTCTAACTGATACATATATAAGGCATGATTGAAGGCATGCTTTTCCCATATAATTCTTGATTTCCATGTCATTTGAGAGCTAATCTCTGCTTTAATGATGGGAAGTGAACCTTTGATCGCATTACCTTTAAGCTGCTGGATTAAAAGGTCAGAACAAAATTGCAAACAAAAGCAGTGAATCGAATAAGTTTCTTGGATCTTTGTGGGTTACAGGTTCCATTGCAAAAAGGGATTCCATTGATCTTACAAGTATACCTTTAAACCTACATATCACCTCACAAGATCTTGGACAGACAAGGAGATTTAAATGGTAATTGAAACCAAAGTTTCTTTTTGAATTTCATACCCTGTCATCATTCGAACTAAACTAAATTTAAAATTATATTAAGTGAGACAAAAGTATCGAGACAAATAATATTTCCTTTTCAACTTATTCGTTACAATTTCGGTAAAACGTCAAGTAAATCAAAGAAGAGAAGGAGAGAGATGAAGCTGGCCTGACCCTGATGAAAGAAATCAAAAGCATAGATTATGATACGAGGGAAGAGATTTCAAAGGAACAGCAGACATAGAAACTTCTGCATACTCTTCTAGATGACGAGGGGACGTTATCGTATAAGTCACACAGATTTTTTTTCCACACGCAACTAGGGATAATAATAATAATAATAATAATAATAATAATAATAACAATGAAAATTCCGAATTATTGGAGGAGAGAAGAAAAAAATCCCACGGGGAACCAATCACGAGTACGTAGCGATAGAGAATTTAAACGATTTTTTTTTTTGCATGGCTGATATTATTCATCTCTGCCACATTGTTTGACGTTGGCTGCTCGTACCGGCTCCACTCGATGTTGTTGCAATTGAAGAGTCTTAGGAGTTTGGACAAGCAAAACCACTTATGTTGGGGGGTGGGCTGTGCTGTAGGGTATACATGTTGGGTTTCAACAAAATGTGGGTGTTTCTTATTTTATTCCAAATTAATCACGACTTATCCAGTTTTACACTCTCGATCACCTTATTCCGTTTAACCTTTTAGAGTAAAAGCTTTTCAAACCATACAATTTGAAAAAGCAACTAAAATCTTTCGATTCGTACCAAGAAGGATGGTTGCAAAATATCCTCTCACTGTTACTCAAACGTGTCTCTGAATATCTTGGAATGACCTTTGCAACCTTGCTGTCCAAAGCTAAGATGGGTGGGTTTTGGTGATTAATTAATTAAGTACTAATTATTGAAAATCCAAAATGATTAAGCATATTTGAACAGAAAGACGAGATGGGGCATGACATTTAATCAATTTAATGGCCAAAATTAATTAAATGAAAGATTTCTCTCTTATAAAATAGCTAGAAAGTTAGTTCAAATCTTGGTTGGGTACTCTTATTCCTGTGCAATGTACATGCACAATGGAGATAACATGGGTGATTTATGTTTTTTAAAAGGATATTGTTGCTTGAAGCTCAATTCTCTTGGGTCAAACCTTGACACACCAACTTCTAATAAGTCTTTTCCTTTTTTAGAAAAAATAAAATCATACTAAATTGAAGTTTGCCTGTCTTATATTGCAAGTGGATGTAGAGATTCAGAGAACAGTATTTATAGAATACTAATTTGTCTTTGGATGAGCTACTTTCCTTGCAGGTTTGCTCGTTAATTCCCCAATTTCATTGGGCTTTTGGACTTGTTTCTATGTTAATTATAATAGAAGAAGAAGAAGAAGAAGAAAAGAATTAAGTGTATGTTTGTCCACACTGCCCATAGGTATTTCTCCATTTAAAAAAATAGAAAGACAGCTAGGTAATGGAGAGATCTACTGTAGTTTTCAGGCACATATGCGTGGGATGGAGAAGTTGGGATTGGATTGTTCTAACAGTTCAAAGATATTAAATGAGCAGACATACATCCATGATTTCAGTCTGCGCTTGGCTTTGGGTGTCCGGAAAGCACCGTGTCATTGCTTCCAGCTTGAGCAACTTGACTTTGAATTGAAACTAACCCCAAACCAAGAAACATGGATAAACAATTATGGCGTTAACATAAAATATCCACTGGTTTGGATCTAAGTTTTCATAATTAATGCATTAACAACCAAAATTAGTTTGAAATTTGATTACTTTGCATATGATTCTTCTTTTCTAGGAGTCGCCAATGGGCCTGTTTTGCCTCCAATAATAGAGCCGAGAAGCAGCCCTTTTGACCAGTTCAATGAGTTTTTCATTCTTAACTATACCCTCTCGTATATAAGTTGGAGAAATCTGGAAAACAGTATCTTCCGTTATGCTTAGAAAGAATCCGAAAAGTGTACATAATCCGGACATTTTACTCTTGCAGTTAGATCTCCTGGAATGAAAAGGCCTGAATCGATAGATACAAGGGTAAACAAATTTGGAAGCCTTGCAATGCGAGCCCAAGAGGAATAGGGGACCAAAATCTGCACCTTATGCAAGTTGTGGAAAGGGAAACAGGCTGACATGTTACTTCGCATCTCTGGATGGCCCGAGCCCTTTTGATTTACAGTTAAAACCCATTAAACCTGGAAATAATCAGTCAAAACACTTTTTCCAGGAATGCTTCTCAGATTTGTTGAAGGATAAGATGAGACACTAATGGAGAAAAGTTTCTCTCTGCTAATATATGCACATAATTAGACCAAAAATTTTGCTTAAATTTTCCTATGTTATTTGGCTTGCTTGAAATGAATAAATGAAAAGTATAATCGTTAAATAAAACTGCAACATAAAATATATTCAAAATATATTGAACAGTTTAGAAACTATGTCACATTCACTTGGGCCAATTACAAAGGGAATAGAAAGGGAGGAAAAAAAAA